GAAAGGAAGGGTTTATTTTGACCCATAGTTGGAGGGTCCAGTCCATCATGGTGGGGAAACTGTGTTGACCAGATCAGCTCCAGCTGTGGTGACAGGAATGTGAGACAGCTGCTGAGGAAACAGAGAGAGGTGCATGCTGGGACTCAAAGCTTGCTTTCATTTTTATCCCTTTTTATTCACTCCAGGACCCCCAGCCTGTGGACTAATGCTATTCACGCCCTGGATGGTTCTCTTTTCCTCAATTAAACTTCTCTGGAAATGCCCTCGAGAACATGGCCAGAGATGTACCTCCCAGGTGATTCTAAATCTAGCCAAATTGCTTGTCTTTTCAGAAAAGACCGCAGTGAAAGACTCTTGCAGGCAAAACAATAGTTACATAGTCTATCTACAACAACTGCCTAAACACCTTCCTTTTACCAGGGGACCACCCTGGAGCCCCTTTTTACATGGGGGAGGGGTGTAAACTGGGCTGCTCACCACAAAGGTCAGGAAACCAAGGAAGCCAACCATATTCTTATATTTCAACACAATATGTATTCAATTTATCTGAATTTAATTTTTGGTTGGTTTGGTTTTTCTGAGATGGAGGTCTCACTATGTAGCCCTGTATAGTAGTTACTTTCCTTATAGCTGTGACAAAATACCTAAGAAAACCAATTTAGAAAGGAAGGGTTTATTTTGACCCATAGTTGGAGGGTCCAGTCCATCATGGCAGGGAAACTGTGTTGACCAGATCAGCTCCAGCTGTGGTGACAGGAATGTGAGACAGCTGCTGAGGAAACAGAGAGAGGTGCATGCTGGGACTCAGAGCTTGCTTTCATTTTTATCCCTTTTTATTCACTCTAGGACCCCCAGCCTGTGGACTAATGCTACTCATACCCTGGTGGGTCTCTTTTCCTCAATTAAACTTCTCTGGAAATGCCCTCGAGAACATGGCCAGAGATGTACCTCCCAGGTGATTCTAAATCTAGCCAAATTGTCAATGAACGTTAACCATCACACCCCAGCTAGCCTGGTGCTCACTGTGTAGCCCAGGCTGCCCTCAGATTTGCTGCACTCCTCCTGGGACTTCAGCCTTCCAAGTGCTAGGATTATAGGCATGCAGTACTACACCCACTTGGAGTTTAATTCAATTACCTACATTTTATTGATAATATCATTTAAAATTTTAAAACATATAGGCTTCTACCAGTTTAAGGAATAGTCTGGAGACTAAAGAGGAAACTCCCATTTGTTTGGGCAGGCAGACTCTGAAAGTTCACAGTTTTAGGGGGAACCCCCCCATGTACCACCTACTTGTAGTCCTCCTCTGCAAGCACCTTGCTTTTATTATCACCTCTCCGTTTAGATGCTAACCTCTTGTTTCCACCTCCTTCCCTTAGCTGGTAAATAATGCTCACATTTCTCCTAGCCATAATAATCTTTGAGCACTGCATCCTCATGCAATCTTTGGAGCTCTTGCTGTCTCTAGAGTCCTCATCTGTACTTCCCAGAATAGGGAAGCCCCCAACCCCAACTCCCTCTGCCCTGGCTACACTACTTCTGTGACCTATTCCAGTTCTTACCTGCTGTGCTTTGCTTTGACTGGCCCCACAGGTAACTCCTGGGAAGCCCCCTGTTTTCGTGGCAGTACTGCATCTGGCCCCGGCCCTTCCTGCCACTGCTCTTCCATCTCCTTCAGTCTTTTTCAGTCATGCTCCTCAGTGTTGCCTCCTGCCTCACATTTGATTGAAACTCCATCCCCAGCTGCATGTCTTTCCAGAGCAATCTTATCCAAATTCACTTTCTAAGACAGGATTTCTGTATAAGAAGATGAATTAGATTATGTGATGTTTATTAGGAAATATTCCCGGAGGAGGGGGATACGGAAGAGGAAGTAGAAATGAGAGAAGAAGCCCAAGCCAGGGTGCCATTACATCAGATGAGCTCGCACATGATTACCCCAGAAGCAATAGGGGTTACCCCTGGAATTGTCCCCATCCCTGTACTTGTCTCATTCAAAGAGATGGATATTCCCCGGTATTTCTGAGAACAGGTTAAGCAACCTGAGCCACCCCACTCCCCAGCTTTGCCTCACTGCCATGGAATGTGTCAGGGGAGCAGGCATGACACAGATGTTCGAAAGTCATAGGGGTTCCTTGTTCAAGCTGGAGGCTCCCATGGCTCCATTGCCAACACAGCTGTCTCTTAGTTCAGAAGTAAGTGCTCAACTAGCCATGGACATCTCCTCTTGGTTCTGTTATATCACATACTGGTCATCCTGTCTCCCCACCTCCATCTGCTTACCTCTGTAGGGTGGAACTCAGGTGCACACAGTCCTCTAGGGGAGACTCCTGGGAGCTCCAACCTCTTCTTCCCCTTCACTTCTCTCCTGGGAGCCACCTCTAGCAGCCACCCATTTACCTCAAAAGATTTCACCAGTTGACTTTCTTCTTTTCCCCCAGACCACCATCTGCATTTAGAACTTTTTCCATTTTTGTATAACCCATCCAACAGCCCATGCATTGTTTTCTGCCTCTAGCCTGCCTCTATTGCTCTCTCTCTCTCTCTCGCTCTCTCTCTCTCTCTCTCTC